AAATATATAATTTTTTATATATGTATATATAAAATTTAATTATGTATTTGGTCATTCTCTTTTTCTCCGCTAATGTTTTTTGTATTTTAAAAAGTTTTGATCTGCTAAAGTTTTAATTGAAATTAGATAATAGTTGAGAGTTGATAACAGTTGCCTTTGTTATTAAAGCTTGTTAGAATTACATTTTTAAGCTATTCAAAAAGAGAATGAAAATTAGTTTATCGTGTTTCTGGCATATATTTACACAAAAGGGAATGTATTTTATTTTTTATTCCTTGCCCACTCTAGAAGCTCAGTCTGGGCTTTGAAATGCAAATATTGTGTGTGAAATATGTCTGAAAAAAAATGAAAGGACAACCAGAGTATAGCTCTTGAAGTGGCCACATCCATTAAAATGCCCTCACATCCCATTATTTTTTATTTTTAAATGGCATTATAGTAAATTTATTACTGAAATTATCATTAAAAGTGTTAATGTACTTAAAGCCAAAGTATTGTTGTACAGTGACACTATGTCACTGCTTTGTCTAGTGAATCCAGTGGACTCTAAAATTAGCAATGCACCTTTTTAAATGAAAATAATACTGTTGCTGCTACTAATTGTTGATCTCATCTGTGCTTACAAAGATAGCGTGGAGATTTAGGTAATGAGTTTGTGAGGGGCTTTTTTTAATAACCCTTTTTCCTTTGCACAGCCTCACTGACCTTGCTGAATGCATGCCTCTCCTCTTCCAGCAGCTCTCTTGGTTTATTTGCTCCTTAGTTCAGCAGTAAGAGAGAAAGGTGCTGTTAGAGCCAGCCTGCTCTTTGCTGGGACACCACTGCAGCAAAATACCTGAGACATTGCTAAACAATTTGCTCTCCCATTTCCCTTCTTTCCTTGCCCAGAGATGAGAAGAGCCTGACTGTGCAGGCAGGGTTATCAAGTAGGCACATTTTGAGACAATCTCTTTTCCCTCTACGGTTTTCAGAGTCTCATAACACTGATGAGGGGCATTGCCACTTTTAAGATTATTTACCTATTGTTTTTAAAGTTTCTGTGAGGTGAAAAAAGAAATTCTAATTGTGACTTAAATTGAAAAGGGAGCAGAGGGGAAAAAATGACAGTGACAGAGAGTCAGATTTCCTTGGGAACCCGGTGCTAGAAACATCTGGGTTTCAATATGCACAGTCCCCCAGAGCCATCTGTTCAAATCCAGACTGTGCTGGCCGCCTTCATCAAGGCTGAGGTTTACTTTATTTTCAGCCAGGCCCTTAAAAACTCAAACTTATTTGGCTGGGCATATTGAGAAGTTAAATACTCAAAAACTAGCCAAAGTTCAGGTTTAAAATGCTTTCTTAGCAAATTTACTATGCCAGGTGCATCACCAGCCACTCCTGAATTGCACAATTGTTCTGTTATGACATTACAACTTCTAAGTTTTGTGGAAGTTGTTTCTTAAGCAGTGGCTCTGACTAACCTGCAGTTTTGTCCCCTTTGTATTTCTCTTCCTGCCCGGTTGAACTGCAAAGGTCTCCCAGGCTTTGGCCCTTACCATTGCAAACAGTGCCTTCAGTCCTTCCTCTGCTACCACAGAACCAGAAACCTTTCTCCTTACACACCTCATTTCTTTCCACACACATGCATTTTTCCAAAATATTTCCAGTTTCAACAGCACACCATCTAATCTGACTCCTTCCTCCCCTCTCCCCTCCCATACCCATTCATAACACACACTCCCTTTTCTCAGCACCCCGTCACCTGCCAAAAATGTTGGGTTCAGGTCTACAAGCAAGATATCTGAGCCATGCATGGCATGTTTGCTCGGGACAGATGTCAGCTGGGAGGACGGACAGACAGGATGACTCACAACACAGCTGGCTCCTCAGCAGAGAGCTTATTTATTTGTGTCTGAGCTCAGCTCTGTTCTCAAATTGGTGGAAAATGCCCAAATGTTAATGTGTTAGTGGAGAGACCATGTAAGGGTGAGAAGGTGGGAGCTGGCAATATGAGTGTATATGCTACATGTTTTGTACAAAACCAAGACAGCCTCCAAATCAACCACTTACCTGACTGATTTCTCAACTTTTTTACTTGGAGAAGAAGGAAAAAATTGTTTTGTTTTGAAAGGTTCAGGTCTATTTTGAGTGTGTTGAGTGGTGGATTCAGATTATGGCCAACAAGCATAGCAGGACCAGAGTGCGAACCCTCTGCAGGATGCACCCTCTCCAGGTGCTCCATCTAGGAGGAGTGATGAAAGGGAAGGGGAATGATCAGATTTGTGGTGAGAAAAACTCTCCTACTGAGCCTAAATCACTGTATTTTTATTATGAAACCTCCCTAACATGCTAACCAGTTTCACTAATACTTTCCAGTTTGGTAACATCTTCCATCCAAAAATCTTGAGAGGAGATAGAAACCCATATTCATTTTTAGTCTTGCTACATTTGATTCTGCAAGATGTGTGCAGAAACCAAGGAAAAGGCGAAAATCCGAGATTTGGCAAAGATCATTCTCAGAGTCTGTAGCAGAATAAAAAAACGTTCCTTAGGACCCGCAGCTCTAGTTTCCGTGTATCATCTACAAGGCCTTCATCTCACAAGTTATTTTTCATAAGTCTTAATTGTAACACGTGTATGAAAGTTAAAGCACTCTCTTCTTTAGCTAATAAAGCTAAATACAATAAAAATCTAGCAAACAATTGACAAAAATTACAGAAAAATGTTTTCTTCCAAAGGAAGATCACTTGAATATTGCAAAGAAAATAGTCTCTCTGCCTTCTCTCTTTATAAAAAGTAATCTTCATAGGAACACCCTCTTCACCATATTGTATTCCTTTCTGCCTGTACTGTAATTTCAGAATAGTCATTCTGGAAACATTTTTGTTAACATTTCAGCTGAAGGAGTGGGCTATAATTTACAAACTTTGAGGAATTATTATCCAGCTGTGTTTTAGTTCATTTTCAGAAAATAAGGGATTATGTTTATATATAGAAGTTTCTATAAAATTAATGTTAATTTGCACATGTTAATGAAGATGATTATTAGCAAAGCATTGTAGTTTTGTTCCTGC